TATACAAATACTCAGATTGTACAGACACGTATAGATACCCACTGCCTCGCCTTGTCTCGTTTTGGCCTCTTTTTCAACCTGCAGTGAATTCGTTTGCTTCAAGACTCGATGATGCATGCTTGTCGGGCGTGTGTACATTTGGACAAAAAATGCATTCGCTGTATTCTTAGATGTTTTCTTGAGATTTAATCCTGCAATGACTGATGCTACGCGTTTAAAATATTAATTTTCATCTCAATGACCATGAAATATTTAACATTTTTCGTATCGTTTTACGCAAAACTTTATGGAGACGGCGAAGCTAACGTAAAAATTAAAAATTTCAGACTCGTTTTATTTAAATATTTAATAGAAATATCAGGAAACAAATATTTTAATTTTTTCCCTTGCATTCGAAATCGCATTGATGAAAATTCATTGACGAGATTTTATTGCCTCGATTGCACTTGTTATCGAATTATATACTCAAGTACGCCTGATTGAATTTGATGGAAACGTGCGGAGTGCGCACGATCAGCTACCCAACTACGCGTTCCCACGTAGATAATATAGCTCTCACTCAGACTTGAAAAAAGCAACAGAGCTCGCTCAACCCTTTGGCGCGTATGTTATGGTATATTCGTACATTTACGAAAAAGAGGGAGGAAGCTGTATCGAATTGCAATCGTGTGTCCACATGAAGCGGTGAGTGGGTGTGTGTGTGCCAGTGTGCGCATGGGTGGAAACTGCGCGTGCAGTGCTCATTAGTCGGCTAATTGGATCAGTGTCACCTATAGGCTCTGATCTACTTTGTTTCCGGTGTACCGATGATTCTATCGACGAGATTTAAAGATGAAAGAGGGAGGGAGGAGAGACTGAGTTCTTGTCTGTAGTCGTCTAGATCCTTCGTATCGATTGCCTCGTATACACACAGTGCATAACCAAGATGTAGACCTTGACAGTCTTTAGAAGGAAGATCTTAATGGCAAGGATTATTTTGGCAAAGAAGGAGACAATAGATTGATGAATGACGAATTTAAACATTCAGGAGATTGCAAAGGTTGCTTCTTCAAATTTTCAGGCTTAGGCATTGTTTCAAAACAGACTATTGTTAGAGTTTCTGCCAATGATCAAATTTATATTTTTATGAAATCAAGTGTAAATTGACATCTGCAGTCTACATAATGCTAATTTAAAGAAAGCTAAGAATATGTAACTGCAGGAAATAACAGATTTGTTGAACAGAACAGATTTAAAATTCTTTCACGTGGTTTCGGCATGCGTAGCAGCTTTGTCTACCAAGAGGGTGCATCTCCATTCATTTGATCTAACTGGATGTTTGAACATGCCTAATCGTTCAATTACCAATTGTTCTTGTTTCTATTATTTAGTACTTCTATTATTTCGATGATTTGCTTGTTGCACGAAGCATGATAAAAAAGTAATTACTGGGATTTTCAAATAGAATTGATACATTTTCTTTAAATACTTGGGCGGACTGATTATTTTCAATATTGAATATGTATACAAATGCTAAGGTATACTATGACATTCGAAAATAAAAATTTTGTGAAAATAATCAACTCAATTACAAACGTGTGCAAGGACAAGTACCTTAAACTACTACATTCGAAACCATTCCTCAGAAACAAAGTATCAGTACAAAACACGCTATCGCTTACACGACGTAAAAGTAGCTAAATCTCAAAAACTAAATATGAACAACATTGTGTGAGAAGGATATAAAGGAATCGAAGATCGATACTATAATTGCACTGCCCGAGTTAGTCTCTCGAGATACTTTAAACTTTGACTTTTCAGTGAGCAAACCTGAATGATATATATATTTAAAAAACAAAGGTACAGACGGACTTCGGCGAAATGGTGTTTCCGGTCCATGAGTTTTGGCCAAAAATTCTCGGGGTCAACGGTATGCGAGGAGCGGCAAACGCAGATCATGGCAAAAACTAGCTGCAGCAATTTCGCTAAGGGCTAATTTTCTTGCCCGGCTTCGTGCAATCTGAAAGTACACGCGCATGGGCGTCAAAGAACTTGAACTCTTTGCCATTGTAAAATGAGTAAAACAACCCATTAGTTGTCTGTATTCTAGATAGTTGTATTTTGCTCTTGCGAACGAGTACCGACTATGGTATGTCTTTGTTGAGCCTCCGGTGCTGCGTATGCAATAACTTTTTATGCTTTGCTAGAGACGATTTTTACGATGTCATTTGCCTCTTAATTTGTAGCGTGCATCTAATGGTTGGTATAGTAATAGTAGCAAGTAGTTGAATCGCTCTTATAAAAACGACTCTTTAAACCCAGTCATTGCATTAGACGCATTCATTGACTCTTGCGGCTTAAAATTACCTTTAAAATCTTAACAATAAAACTGATATACTATAAATAATTTTCCTTACAAACTTGGGAGCTTCTGAATTAAGCACATTTAACGCGTATTTCCGAAGAAAAAAAGTTTAATATGAAAAAGTCTATAAATGGCCCCGAACATTTTGTTTACGTTCAACAAAATTATGTTATACAGTTTCATAAATTATTTGGAAAGTTTTATTTGATAAAATATTGAAACTTGGTGGATTAATTAAGTAGTTTCGGTAATCTCAAATTGATACATCGGCAGAAACTTGATATTATGCGATCTTGAAAACGTACTTGGATAATTATTCAGTTAGAGTTATTATTTTGTACCAGCGTTTCATAATTAAAGTCTTGAATATTTTGCGAGTCTCGTACAAAATGTTCGCTCGATGTCTTTTAACCTGTATCGAGCTTCTTATTGACTAGAAGTTTTCTCTGTGCTTTCTCTGATACACCAAAGCGGCAAGCTATCCTTTTACGAATGGCGCTACTCGATTAACCAACCTACGACGAGTAAATTATCGTCCAGCGGTTTTGTACAGCAAATCCTGAAATGAGTCGATGTAATACTCAACTATAATGGTAGCTATAGTTTTTCGATGCTTTTTTAGTTTTTTAAGAGGAATATTTCGGATTTATTTATAGTTCACAAAGTTGTAGGTCCATAAAAAAGAGACTGTACATAAATGCCTTTTGTATTCTGTTTGGCGCCGAGTCCGAAAAATCCGAATTCCACGATTGGGTTACTTTTAACGATTATTCGCTGAACTAAGCTATGTTAATTGATCAAGTATTTGCTAATGAATACACAAGTCCAATAAAATAAAGTAAAATTATAATAAATATCAAATATAATATAACATAATAAATAAATATAAAAATATAATGAAAAAATTCAATACGGATAAGCGTAAAGATTTGCTTAAATATTTCACTACGCCAAAGAAAAAAAATTGGTGATCTCCGTAGAGAACCCAAAAAATTGATTACATGTGTAATATACATGTACCTTAGAAAAACAAATAAGTCAGGTCGAAAAATAAAAGCGATGTAGCTCGATCATGCTGACTTTGTAGCTTTCATCTGGGCATAGAATCATCTTGTGTTCATGCTTCCATGTGGATTTGCAACCAAAGCATCGGTCAGCAGAAAATACTGAGGATATTGTGTGAATTTGTGTATGCATGTGTTAGTAAAGGTGTGTGTATGTGTACCTTCGCCAGTACAAATGAGCCCGACACGGTTTGCAATTTGCATTCTTCGCTTTATTTCATATCTATAATATTCACATGCGCACGGACAGTACAAGAGAATCAACGCACGAAAGGAGTACTATTGAATATATACGCCGAAGAATTTCCTTCTTTTTCTCGATGCTCAATAAGCCACAGATACAGTCTCTCCCTCAAGCTCAATTCGATCGATCGATGATAATAATAATGAGAAGCAAAGTATATGGGCACAAGCTGACCCTCGCTCTCGAGTACGGGTGTCTCTACGCTCAACCCCGCGTATGTGCTGGTATGTGTGTATGCGCGTATATATTCATTGAAACGACACAAATAAAAAACCCATTTGAATACTTGCTGGAGCTCGCGAATAGAAATTGCAGCCACGAGATGCTCGCTCGCGTCCATCAAAGATAGTATATAAGGAAGAAAGTGATAATACGACGACGATTGGTGGCCGTGGCGAAGGTGGTATCGGTAGTGAAACGAACCAGTAGAAAACCTGTTTTTCGTCTCTCGCTCGTCGATCAAACCTGTGGCTCTATCAAGATGTTATACGCAAAAATTTATGTATATCATGTAATCCGAGAAATAGTTGTCCTTCTCCAGGATTATTTATTTTATCATTGTTGCAGCATAGTGACTGTTTAACTTAAATTCAAATTTTGGAATTCTCCATTTGATTGTCAATATCGTGTCAGAAGAATATTATGCGAAAACCGTAAATTACATGTGAACTATGCGTATAAGCTTCTGGTGTTTTAATAGATTTTTTTAATCACATTTATCTCATATTTTCTATCTCTGCAGTGCAGTTGTATTAACTGCATTGTTTGCTACATGTGATTCATTGATTATCTACGACTAGATTTATTATTTAAAATTTTAGTACAACATATTTTAAATTTTAATAGTTATTTAATTCGCATATTATATAATTGCTGATAGAAATAATTCTTCATCAAACAAGATTTATCGGAAAAATTCAATATTATTTGAACGTCGGTGTAATTATATCCTTACTCGACACGTTCATTTTCTCTTTCGTTCAAGATACCCCAATTCCATAGAGATTAATCGCTTATTTCGATTCACTTGTTCCTACAAACGCAGTCTCCCCAAGGAGATTTATTTTTACGTCACGTCATACCGTCTCTGGCTAACACCACAGCAATCGATACGTTTTTTTGTCACGATTCAGGTAAAAGAAAAGTATCGGTTAGTATATTAACTGCTTCATAGGTAGACCAGCAATCAGCTCTGAAAATGCTGCAAAAAATGAAAACCTTGTACGATTGGTAAAATATATTTTGTACATTCATAGTATTAAAGATAAAATCCATAAACATAAAGAACATTGAATTTTTTCAAACATAATTCATACAAATGTTTAACCTTGGATATTGTTATTTTCAGCTGTACATCGAAGTATGTAGGTGAGTTCTGTCAACATCGGAATCCATGTCTGAAAGGTCAACGATGTCAGAACGGAGGCGTTTGTCGAGTCGTCGAAAGCCCGTACGGTGGAACACCAACGTTCGCCTGTGACTGTCCTATCGGTTATTCAGCAAGTTTATGTGAAATCAAATTAGACAGCGTGTGCGATTCTTCACCGTGTTTCAACAATGGAAAATGTGTATTGAAGACGCTTTATGATTTCACGTGCGACTGCGGCAATGGATATGCCGGTAAGTAATGTTTATCTTGTACTTCTGTAATTTGACCCAATGGAATAAATACGAATTTACACATGTTTGATTATTCACCCGGAGAAGAAACAGCGAGCGATCGTGAAGAAAATAGTAGCAAAAATTGAAAGAACTTTAGCAATGTGATTGTTACATACTCGCGATTTGCATGCATAATCAAAGAAATTGTATCAATAAGAGCTGTTGTGTAACACTTCACTCGATAAAGATATATTATAATGTATTTTAGATGCATTGGATAAAGTTCACCGTGACGAGTTGATTCTGAGTTTTTTGTTCTTTCGCACGAAGGAATTCAAGCGTTGCACTATCTAATTAGCTGGCAAGCGTAATATGTTATTGTTTTGTTATTATGTGATACACATCTCTTGCTTAATCCATTTGGCAATGCGATGTAGTTACTAAGTGCAGAAAAGTTGATGAATTTGTCTCGAGATTCTAATGATTATAGTCTAAATGTTCAATTGATTCTTTTTTTTTTTTTAATTCCATTTCAATTTTTGACTAAAAATTTGTGTAATAGCGTATAAACATGCATGCTGTTACACTGCTAGATTAATTCTGACATCCTGTAGTAGCTATGGATTTAAATATTTCATTAGCTGTGACGGATGAAATAATTTTATTAGTTTGGGATGATTTTTGTGAAATTAATTACGCAAAATTAGAAAATGTATTGGCAACGTAATTAAATACTACTAACTAGAAGCTTATTCGCTTTTGTTACTATGAGACATGCAAAGCTCGACCAAGTTTAAATTATTAATTGCCATTCAAATAAAACCACTCAAGTGAGTGCGGGCATTCATTCAACTTTGCATAGAAACAAGTAGTATACAAACAAGCATGCGTATTATTCATTAGGGTTACGATTCGCCATTTGGCTACTAAGTTTTCTCCGACAAAATAACTATAAAAATGTAAAAAGCTCGGACTCGGACTCTAGTTTTGTCGAAGCAGCTCAAAGTTCAGAAAGGCTAGAGCGATGAGCTAATCTAATTGCTATTGATAATATATCTGTCGCAAGTCGACTCTAGCGTTGACTACCACAAAGCAGTAATAGGACGGTAAAAAAATGGATTGGATTTATATATCGTCACGTACACCGCATGCGTAAAAACTGCACCGAGGGCGTGGGTAAGCGCTGCACCAGTGCAGGAGTGTCGTATACTTGCAAGGTCTCGGAAGATTATGCAAATGTCTGCATTTATGTGTATCAAGCAGCGACAGAGAGGCAAAAATAACTGCGTATCCAGGCTAGCTGTGCATAGTAAAAGTGTCGTGGAATCATTGGTAAGCGCGCGGCCCCTCCCAGTCAGCTCTCGGAGCGCGTCCTGCCGCCCGCTCGCGATTAACGCCTCGTCTAAGTGACTTTTTATGTATGTAAAGGATTCTAAAGTGCTAAAAGTCGGTATCGTGAGAGCCGCGCTCGAATGCCTGCCCGTTCCGAGGTATCGCAAGAAAACTCAGCAAACTGCACCGTATAGGAAAATAACTGAAAATCCACGGTAATAATGTCAAGCAATCGTTAAATTTGAGCGCTCTGCAGGTATATCTTGCTCGCGTGCTTATCTCTACTTCCTTGTAAGGCGACAATCGTAGCCATGCGCCTGCTTGTCCAGTTCAAAAACAGGCGCGAGCGTGCGTACGACTATTTTTATCCTTGAAACTTGCTCTACCTTTTCTTATCACAACAGCAAAGCTGGCTAGTATAGAAAAACACGCTTTGGTAATTTTATTAGCGAACGGTCCCCTCGAACACACGTTTATACACACACGAGCACAAACGTACGGGCGTTTGACCCTTTTCGATATCGAGCTTTCGATCTCGACTCGAACACGCTTCGCACATAAAAGAGCCAACTCGAGTTCAACTTAACAAATTCAACGGTACACACGAAAACGCATTTATTAATGTTATTCCATTGCTTTCAGGTGAGTTCTGTGAAAAGATCGACTATTGTGCATCTTCGCCCTGCTTGTATGGAGCGCAGTGCCGATCGCTCGATAACGAGTATCAGTGCACCTGTGCTCCAGGTTTCACGGGACCCAATTGTTCCGAAGACATAGACGAGTGTGATTTGATAGCGCCTTGCAAGTACGGAGTTTGCGTCAACACTCATGGATCTTACAAGTGAGTACCTCACATTTCAATCGTAATTCACATTTTATATAATACAGATAGCAACAAAAAAAAACTTTAGTGCCATGCCAACGGAAACTTTTTTCATTCAAATTTTCGTACGAAAGCAAGCGCAGCTCTACTGCTCGATTCCGTTTACGTGTCGTCGAATTAAACGGACAGCGCGCACTGCAGCGCGGCTTGTCCATCATTGGAAGTTTTCTAATTGCGAGATAGTCGGATAAACGATCACGTTCACCTGCTGTAGGCCTTTTCATGATGGACTAGGCGCTCGACTGCGCGGGTGTCTCCGTACGCGACGCGGAATGCGGAACAAAGGCGCAACCACAGCCGCCTGACCATTACGATCTGCCGATCCCACGGAATATTGCTTCGCGTCATTATTGCTTCTGCAGTGCGCTCGCTTCTGATTGATGCTTCTTTTGAAAAATCTCAAAATGATATATTAAATTAGCCACGGCGGCGCGCATGAATAATATATCAACGAAAGCACCACGGCAATGTCCACCTATACCAAACTAGCTCTACGCGCGCATATGACCTTTGAAAAACAAGCGGAATCCTATAATGATAGAGAGTTTTTCGTCAAGTTCTTCGAATAAATCGTAAAAACCTTGACTTTCTACCGAAACCCGCGTAAAAGTGAGGGAAAGATTCGATTTATACGTACACGATCCTAACGAAACCTTTAGGGTAGCAGTGTCAGTTCCAGCAGTTCTCTGGACATACACACTCACACACACGACTTGGGCAAGCCAAAGAGAAGAAGAAGAAGATCGAAAAAGAGGAGCTGTATTGTAAGAGTTTCTTTTGCCAGTTAAGTATTAAAGGAGGGAATGTCGAAAAAAGGTCCAACACAAAGATATAGCGAACGAGGGAGAAGCGGCGGAGGCATCAGCAGCATATAGAAGAAGACGAAGAGGAGGCAAGAAGGATCGTACGGGGAGCTGCGAGAGAAGGCACGATGCGCAAAAACTGGTTTGGACCGCGCGCTCTCTTTCAGTTCTTTGGAGCTTTGCGCTCTTTGCTGCTGCTGCTGCTGCTGCTGCTGCTGCTACTACCCATAAATTCACGGCAGTGTTTCTCAAGATCGAGTCGAGATTAATCGGACTTACTCGCGCCCTCCAACAGATAATGTCGCCCGCGCTTCCACGCAAACCAAACGCTCGCGTACCCTTTTTCCCTTATTGAATTGTGCAACTTGAAAATATTGAATAACAAGCACGAGTGCCAAATGTTGTCACAACAATCCTCCAAGTTGCGTAAAAAGTACTTTTCTACAAATATTCACTCTCATTATAACGGTAGCGCTATCGCTGAAAAAAATAAACAAACATTGATTAAATCATTTGATATCTTTGCATCGGTTGAAGAAAGGCCTGAAGATGGAGCTACAGATTGTTTAGAGCATTGCAGACAAAAACAATTTTTTAAAACTTTGCTACTAGAATTAAACTTCATGCTCGCTTCAATGATATTACGAGTATTCTCAAACTCTTCAATTTTGAGGTAATATTTCCTAAAGCTAGCTAATGGATAAGGCTGTGGATAATATTTTATACATCTATCATCATATCACCACCGTAATGAACTACTAATTATGATGAGTAATCTAAGCCGCATCATAACGCATCACATAGTATCGCACTGCTAATAAACTCGCATCTATGAAAAATCATTTCGAATACGAGAGTGTTATTAACAATCAATCATTTTCACCTTGGTAGAACAAAAAAAGGTGTGCAAATTAAAAATATACATAAGATCAAAAACTACTTTGTTCGTGTACAGAAATATCACATAAATCCATTGTGACGCGCGAGATGGGAAGGAGAAACTCGATGGCGTTGAATTGATCAAGATTCTGATTAATGAGATATTCTCCGCTGCAATAATAAGGCTTGATTGGCATTTGATTTTTCGCGGCATTAACAGCAGCGATTTAGATAAGGGCGTGACGGTTGTGATAGCGAGAATGATGAAAAACAAAAAGGATCCAATACAATCCTTGTCATGATTCATACTTGTGTGTGTGATTAATGAAATGATGTTACGTGACAGCATATGTAGAGCAACAGGTAGTGCGAGTATTTAATGAATCGCGAGAGACAAATATCACTCGGGTCTCTAACCTCTATTAATACTTTGCGTACATTACTTGTCGTGTTCCAGATCCAAACTATTATACGACAGTGCGTATATGAGTGAGGGTCAAAGAAACCCCAAGCATACGAATAAGCGATAAAACGACCTTCTGAATATATCTGGTTGAGGGGTCTTGACGTAAAAGCCCCAGCTGCACGAGGAAAAAGCAAGCGAGCTCGCTGCTAGCTACCCGATGAGTTTCTTACAGCTGTTGGGCCGTCTGAGTTTTGAGCACCTGTACGGTTGTATAGGCTCCAATGAGCCTTCGTTTTCGATCTTTCCTCTTTCATCTTGCGCGTATTCATATTATATATTATGCACTCGCAGATTCTAGAGAGCTCTCCTACGGCGGTGATCGCAATATAAATAGTAAGGACTCGCATCTACGGTCAGACCTCTCTTACCATCAATCAAAAAATGATAAAAAGAAATGCGCATATAATTGCTTGTTAATTGTACTAAGCCTCACGGAATCGCATCTCATTCATCAAAATTCTGCGTAGCCGCTCAGAGTACACTGCAAATGCAGACTGCAACGTACATATGATATATACGAGCATTTGAGTACGTTCATCACGCGACTCCTGCAGTACATACTCTTTTTACGTTTTTTTTAACGTCTTTTTGCGCTCACTGGGCTATGATTTACGTTCATTTATTTACTCATTAAAAAAAAAAAGAATACAAGAATAAAAAGTCCCCTTCTACGCATAGTGCCGACGATGTTATACATATCTGCTCGTCATCTGTTGAATAATCTCTCGACTTTTGTTTATTATTATCATTTGCTCAACTCGTTGCTTCAGTGCTGCACCGCTTCTTCTTCGTTTTTCTCTTATTTGGAGACTTCTCCTGACTCTTTTGAAGGTTCGAGGTATATTCAAGCGTGAGAATGTTGATGATTCCAACGTCATTTTATAATATTTAAAAATCGCGACTTGTTGCCTCGGAATTGCTTCCACGTTATCTTTGTTATCAGGTTGTTATCTCGTTCGAGCTTGAACAGCTCCTTTTTATAACGAATCCAAAGAAAACAAGGTGAAAATTCGTTATTTCGGTCAGTTCGTCGAAAACAATGCCATTAACGGACCCAAAACGTGCCGAGTACACCGGTACATACAGCTTTGCATACGCACTTGTCTGACGTTTTTGCAGTTATGCTTCGCCCCGATACGCTATCGCGCGCGCATATATGCAGAAAACACGTGTCCAACACGCCACAAGGAAGCGAGGCAACGAGCTTCGTAGTCGTGCGTACAGAGGCACTATCGCGCTCGACAACCGCAAAGCAGGTTCCCTTACGAGCTCGCGAAACTTACGACGCCGTTCGCGAGTTGGGGCACTTTGGGCTGCTACTGCTTTGCTGGCTCGTTCCGCGTCGTTACGAGCGCGCCTTTTCTCATCATCTCTCAATTGCGGCACCCCCCCCCCCCC